TGTGGCCTATGAATACATACTATGGGATGGGACTGGACCCTTTTACATAAACCCTGTCTAGCCTGTATTCCTACTTACCTTTTTCCACTAAAAGAAAGTCTCTCAGTTAGTGAATGATAATCCCAGAGATTGGTCTGGTACATCGTGGTTTAGCATCATTTGTAACATCCCAAGGAATGAGCTGTGAGGTGGCATTACTTTCTGAACTTTAGTGGCCAGCTTATCTTCTCTTGATTCCTCCAAAAGAAAGGAGAGAAACACTTGTTTTGTTTTAATAAAGAAGTTCAGTTAACTGGTAAGACAGATGCTGTGATCTATATCTAAACATCAATTAGCAGAGAGAGGAAAGGCCCTTATCCTTGGAGCTTTTTAAACTGAACAAATACGGTTGCTTGAAGGAAGGTTCTTTCATCTGAACAAAAATGTACTATTGGGTCGTCAGAAAATTCATGACATATTTTTCTATGCAAAAATGTGTCGTGAATTTTCTGATGTTCTAATAGATGACCTCAACATCTTTCAGATTTAGGGATTCCAAAGCCCTAGAGGAAGCTGGAAGATTTGTGGTAACACCAGGTGAGCGTTCAGCCTATGAAATGTTCCAATTGGCAGCGACATGCTATGCTTGGGTGACGACCATCAGGACTAGACATGTAGAGGCATGTGGTGTCTGTATCATTAGGTCTGTAGTCCTCCTTTTAGGTGAGACAATTAAAACTTGAAGAGGAGAAAGAACTTGCCAACCAACACAGGGCTCATGAGGCACAGACTCAGGGACGTGAGCCCAAGTTCTGTGTCCATACCACAGCAGCCCCTCAACTGACGGAATGAGATAATGTTAGGAATTATCTATCAAATTACGTGTATAGTAGTTAAGCACATTTGTAATTTTTTAATTAGACTTTCTATCAAATGGGACCAAACATATGAGAGGGGCTCTGGCCTGCTCCAATTTAGCCAGAGCTTCTAGTTTTGAAGCCAAGATTCATGAATATATGGATTCTGAAAAGCCCAGGGTCTGAATTACTGCCTCTGACTCAGGAGGACAGGTTAACTGAATGTCTGTGATCACTAACAGGTGATGGGCCTTGGGTCCACACCAGAGCTGTTGTGGGAGACAAATTCTTTTAATGGACTGTCCGCCAGGCATCAGGAGTCCATCAACAGTCACTTTTTTTGTGCTGCATGCACACGTGTCCAAGACTCATGGGTGACTTAAGGAAAAGTGCTAGCAACAGTATCGATGTCAATGTTAACTATATTTCATTTGACGTCTTATAGTTTTCAAATAAACAGTGTTTTTCATGGCTCTAATATTTAATTGTGGGCAACCAACAAGATAAACATTACGTTTCTCAAATGCATTGCTACTTTGGCATTATAACTATCCTCAGAATCTTCTATGTGCCAGTAGGTATTAGTAAAACAAAAACGAAAACAAAACAAAACAAAAGTAGAAATGGATGTTTTAGATTGTGTGATC